CCGCGCGCCGCGCTAACCGACGATCCCGGCCACCCGCTCCTGCGGGATCACGTAGGTCAGCCGCCAGCTCGGATCGTCCTGCTTGCCCGACAGCACGTCGGTCAGGCTGAAGGTCGGATTGCGGCCGATCAGCACGCAGCCCTGCTTCTCGAAGAAGCGGCAGGCCGCGGCATTACGCTCGTAGGTGTGGACCAGGGTGCCCAGGCCGCAGTAGCGCACGGCCTGGCGGAACAGGGCGTCGCCCACCGGCCCGCCCTGGAACGCCGGGTGGACGAAGAGGTTGGTGATGACCGGCGGCTCCGGCCGGGCCTCCGGCGCGCATTCGACGAAGCCCAGCAGCGTCTTGCCCCGGCTCTCCTGCCGCTCGGCGACGAAGAGCGCATGCTGCGGCTTCTGGCGGTAGGGGATGTTGCGCGAGTAGTCGCCCTCGGGCAGCCAGCCGACCCCGGCGTTGAGACAGGCCACGAGCAGCTCGCCGATCGGGCGCAGGTCGTCCAGGGTGGCGGCGCGGATCTCCATGAACGCCGGTTTAACTCAACCATGCCGCGTTTCGGAAGAGGCAAGTTCCGCCTGCCCGGAAAAGACGCGGCGCTCTCAGGAGCTGTGGTCGAGCAGGGACCCCAGCATGGCGTCCCCGGTCTGCAGGACCTTGAGATTGGCCTCGTAGGCCCGCTGCGCCTCGATCTGGCGCACCGTTTCCTGCTCCAGCGACACGTTGGGACGGGCGACCAGCCCCTTGGCATCGGCCTGGGGATCGCCGGGATCGTAGGTCGGCAGGTAGCCAGGCGCCAGGAAGCGGGTCTGACCACGCGCCCCGCCGCCAACCGCGCTCACCGGATCGACGCGCAGCGGGCCGGCCTCTTGCTCGGCCGCATCGCTCGGCACCGTCACGGTCGCCGCGGCGACATTGTGGGCGGAGGCGGCGACGCGCTTGGTCTGAACCTGCGCGCCGGACAGGGCGTTGGAAATGGCAGACGTCATGATGCTGAGTCTCCTTCCACGCCAATCAATGTGGGTTGCGCGAAGCATCCCGTCAAATATTTGTATTTGTGCGGCATTTTTTTCAAATC